AAAGCTATAATTACTCATCAAGCAGAAAAAGTAAATCTACCTTCAAGTACAATGAAGATGTTCTTCTGTGAAAGTATGAAGATACAGAAGTACGCAGAGTAATTCAGTTCTGCCTTACAACTGTATCTTTGGGGATCACGTCTATCGAAGTGGAAAGGACCTCCTAAATGCCATTCCTACATATATATGCACCTATTTCTTTTATCATGTCATTATGTACTCTTCAGAGTATTTAATTCTCTGTTTCACCTGCTGTTCATTTAGTTTATTTGAAATGTTCAGTTCTGACTCTTCAAGTCTCTTAGAAGAACCTTACGTGTTTGAGCTGATCTTCAAAGGAACAGCAATGAGAGTTGCCATCAAGAAAGTCTGGAAATAGGCCAAGTTAAAGTGACTTACAATGCATAATTTAGAAATTCTTACTTAGTTCATTTGCAAAATGCATCAGCTTTACCAGGGTAAAAATATTAGATTAGCTTTTATAAGGATTCGGGGAAAACAAAAGAACGTTGTCAGTAAGGAGTTTGGAACTAGGTTGCCCAAAGTGTGTTACCACAGGGTGTTGTGGAGGAAACAAAAGGAAGTTTTCCCCAGATAAAAAATATTTTGGGTGGGGAGGGGGTTACTGTCTCACACTTAAGAAAAACATAAGCTCTGCCCTGGCCGGTTTGGCTCAGCGGTTGGAGCATCGGCCTGCGGTCCAGAGAGACCCGGGTTTGGTTCCCGCTAAGGGCACGTACCTCGGTTGCAGTTTGTCCCTGGCCCCGGTTGGGTCGTGCGGGTGGCAGCCACTTGATGTGTACCTTTCACGTCAATGTTTCTCTCTCTCTCTCCCTCCCACTCTATCTGAACAAAATATGGAAAAAATGTTTTTGGGTGAGGATTAAAAAAAAAAAAAAGAAAGAAAGAAAAACATAAGCTCCATCTAAACAGAAACTTTATAATCTTCTTCCCCATTTTATGTCCAGTGCCTAGCACAGTACCTTGTGGTACCTCAAAGAATTAACTGCAGGACTTCTCAGGACCTTTAACTTTGTAGCTGGCATTGAGACTCATCAGAAAGGGCAGTAGTCTACAGCTTTGCACAGTGATCTGCAGCCTTGCAGTACTGCAGAACCCTTTTCTTAAGGAGCATTTTACTGGACTTCGGTAGCATGAAATACCTGCTGGGAAATTCTAGCTCTGAGTAAGGTAAGATCGATAAGTTTCAGAATGGAATTGACCAGTGAGTAAAATACTCATGTTTTTGTGAACACTGGATAGCAAAGTGATACAGATTGTGAGGCAGGATAGGTGTCCAGCTCCCCTCTTTGCATGTGATTTGGGGTAAGTAGCTTGACCCTCACAAGCCTCAGTTTGTTCAGTATAAAATGGGGATAGTAATTATGTTTCTGTAACTGGTTGTTGGGGAAATAAATTATATGTAGTTGCACTTATGAAAGTTAAATAATGTATGTGGAAGGCTTGACTGTGCAAACGCATTATCATTACTATTATGATTATTATCATCATTGTGATCATGATCATCACTCTCATCATAAAAATTGAAGTGACAGGGTTACTCTAGTTGGGGTGGGTGCTGATGAGACACTGAAGTTGAAATGGGATTTCTCCCTTCCTCCCTCCCTTCAACAAATCTTGGGGTGCTTTTACTGTGCCAGGCGTTGTTAGTTCTGGGGGAGCCAGTGGTGAACCCAGGTGAGGCCCTTCTGCCTGCATGGACCAGGAGTTTTTGTAATATAAGGTGCTTACCAATGTCACCGTCCCTTGGAACATAAACTAAATTGTACACAAACAAGTTAGTTGCAGTTAATTGTTCTGAGGTCATTATATTAGAGATCTGTCCTCAAAGGGTCACTTTTTCTCTAAGAATCAGATTTGTTCTTACACAGGTAAGTACAGCAGGATTCACAGGTCTCACTTTAAAGTAAAATAAACATACTTATACTAGCATGACTGGATAAAGTGAGTCACACGGAGAATGACGTCATTTCCTCCTCATCAGGGTAACCCCCACAGGAGGCTGGTCGGATTTAGCCAATAAAAATACACAGCAGCCGCTGGATTGGAATCGCAGATAAAGAAAGAATACTTTTCTTAGTATAAGTATATCCCAAATAGTGCATGGGACATACTTACACTTAAAAAAAAAAAAAAAGTTGTTCATTTGAAAGTCAAATTTCACTGGGCTGCCTGTGTTTTGTCTGACTGCCCTCCCACACTGCCCCAGCCGCCACCTGGGCAGGAGGAGACAGCTGCCTGTGACATGTCAGCGTTTGAGCCCTTTGTCCAGGAGCTAGTTTACCCCATGCAGAGTAGAAACCTTTGCTTCCGTTTGAAACGATTTACAAACGTGCCTGCCTGATCGCCAAGTGTTTCCGAGTTACAAGCCAGGAGTCAAGGCCTATAGTTCGAGCAGATGCAGGCTGCCCTGCGATTCCGCACGTGCTTCAGGGGAGAGCTGCCCACGTGGCCCGGGCCGCCAGAGCCACCTGCTCGCACGAACTTCGCCGCGCGGCTCATCCGCGCGCGCACCCGCCCTCCGCGCTGCCACTGGTTTTTCTCATTTCTCCAGGGCAGATACTAATTAATGGATACAATTCACAGCTGATTAGCTGTAGTTTCTTCAGTAATTACATTCGCATACTAACTGTTCAGAAGAGGATTTCTAACCCAGTTCTTATTTCACTCTAAGCTTAATTTGTTTTTGGAATTGTTTAGGCCCTTAGTTTAATAGCCATTTTATTTTTCTTTGTTGTTTTAGGTGCTATTAGATAATAAGTGAGTTTAATCTTAAAAAAAAAAATGCTCCGTGATAATGAGCTGTTGCCTTCAATGGATTTCTTATTCCCCAACAAAACCTACACTTAAATAACATTCAAGCTGTGATACAGGTTGGTTGGGGAGCCAGGACTTGTGCCTGAGTACACCTCCTGACCCCAGCTCCCACAAATACTTACCAAGAATGTGCAGAATGGGGGCCCGAGATTTCAATTCTGATATCATTAATTCATCAAGAATTCCAAGACAGAAACTATATGTTTTCTTGCATATTTTTAACATTGTAGAAACATGGGGGAAATGTTTGTGTGTGTGTGTGTGTGTGTGTGTGTGTGCACATGTGTGTGCATGCATGCACCTGCTCATGTGTGCTTTTTTTAAAACTTAAATTATTTTGAAACCAGTTTAGTCCGGCCGGTGTGGCTCAGTGGTTGAGCATCAACCCATGCACCAAGAGGTGACTGGTTTGATTCCCGGTCAGGACACATGCCCAGGTTGTGGGACAAATCCCCCGTGCAGGGCGTGCAGGAGGCGGCCAATAATGTTCTCTCTCATCGATGTTTCTCTCTCTCCCTGTCTCTCTCTCAAAGTCAATAAAGAAAAAAATTTAAAAAAAAAGAAAACACTTTATTGAGGTATGATGGGCATACAAATACCTTTGCATATTGAATGTATACAACTTGATAGTTTGGAGATTAGTATACATTTATTTTTTTATATCACATGCCCTCCAAGAAGCCAGATAAAGGCCTTTCTTAAGCACAAACAAATGCATCTTTTGGAAATCCTGATGAAGAGATCTGTCCAAGCGAATCCCAGGGCTCCTTGTGTGAGGGCGGGTGAGGGCGGGGGAGGTGTCGCTCTGCGGGGGCATTTGCCTCCCGGAGATCACAGCTGGGGAACCATGAGGGCCCTTCCTACAAATCCTGCCTGGGTCTTGGACCCCTGACATGAGAAAGTGCAGCATCAGTCCTGCTTCTCTGCACGAGTCAGGGGTTCAGAGTCGGGCTGAGAGCCCCCCTGGACATAAGTGTTGGTGGGTTTATGGAGAGGATTTGTGCGGGTCTTCTGTATCTGTGTTTTATTTATTCTCTCTCGCTCTCTCTCCCTCCTTCTGTCTCTTTCTCCTCCTCCCCCCTTTCCTTCTTGGGAAAATTGTGCCTTCTACTTTAAATAATTACTAGCTCTATTTATATTGGAGAGTGGATATATACATTTCACCCTTTGGAGACGAAACCTATGTGTTATTTAATGCATGAAAGGAAGGAAATCATACACTTAGTAAAAAGGAGGGCATCCTTTTACCATTTCAAAATCATGAAAATAATATAATTCCAGCTAATTATGCTCACAGAGCCTCTCCACCTTGCCAGACTGATAACAATGTTTAAAGCAACCAAACATGCCTGCTTATACCATCCCAACCTGAAAACCCATTTCTGCCCAAATCCAAGTTTTACATTTTGATAACAGGCCTGTAGAAGTAAAGAGCTTATGTCTGAAATGCTGATACAGTCTTATTTGTGATGGTATGAATGGGCTATTGTGTTAGGGAATTAAATAAAAATTGCTGTGTTCATAGGATCCCGCTTATTTTTTAAACCTCTTTGCACTTAATGTTACATTGAGAGATTAAATATCACTATTTTCAACAGCTCTGATGGATATAGATATCGTTTTAAACTCTGGAGATTTAAAAAATATTCTTTAGTCTTATTATTTATTTATATTCCTACCACACCCCGTTCACTAGAAAATAGAATTTGAGTCCTGGGAATTGAATTCTGTTTCTTTTAATTCACATCTTAACCTACCCACTCTTGTGTCATCTGTTCTGGAAAAGTGAGCTAGGAAATCCCAACATGTTTGAAAAATGTGTCAAGGTGGTTTTGGGGGAAACTCTTTTCCTTCTAACCTCTGACAAATGCCAGTTCAGTAAACATCACCGGCCGTGACCAGTCGGGCCAGTGTGTGATGCCTTCCTTTGCGGTTCGTCTTGAGAAACAGCGCTGTGCCCTGGAGTTGCCAGGCCCGCTCACCTCTGTGCGGAGGGACCCGGCAGTGCAGCCTGGTACCTGAAACCGGCCCAGTTCACATTCGCTCGGAGCAGAACCTCTGTTCACCTCCGATCACCAGCGTTCCTTCCGAATCCCACCAAGTGTTCCCCAGGATCCTTTATCGGGCTGTGTATTAACCTCAAACGATCTGTTTTCTTTCAGTTCGGAAATAACAATAACTACATGAATATGGCTGAGGCAAGCAACGCCTTCTTTGCCGCCAGCGAGGTAGGTGTCTGTCTCAGTATGTCTGCTTGTGTTCTGTGTGTTATTCAGATCACTGAAGAGCCTTGAAGGGGAAAACAAGGCGTCGACTGCTTCTCTCTCGCAGGTGGCACCAGGTAACAACTTAGGAGGACAAATGAGAAAAACCTATTGGGAGAGAAAACAACCTGACACATCGCTGTTGAGAACGTTAGCAATTCACACACATCTCTTGATGAAAAGAAATGCATATGCAAAAAAAAAAAAAAAAAATAGAGGTATATGAGAAAGTACATAAAATATCTATAAATACAAGCTTGATTGGAACCTAAGCAGATGAGTGTTTATTTTAGAAACTAGGATGGAAGTGACTTTTAATAGAAAATATGTTAGCTTCACATAGCTCTGGAGATAATTTCATTAAGTGGCCATGATTTGGGAAATTATATGGCAGAACAGTATTATTGTTTCTTGGGTCTTTGGTGGGAGTAATATGAAAAGAGTGTTTTGGTTTAGGTTAGATCCCCACAGCCTAGTATAGAGCCTGACACATAGTAGGTGCTCAATAAATACTTATTGAATGAGTGAATGGGCAGGACCAAGTCAGGAAAGCTGAATGATGGGATATAAAGGCAGCACCACCTGGACTCTGGGTTTGTCTACAGTTTACTGGTGCAAATGGAACACATATCTTGTTGCTGTTTTTATTGAATTCCTGACTCATTTAGGGCTGTTGTCTGGTCTCATTGGCCTGCCCTCCAGAAAAGTCTCGATCCTGATTAGATCAAGGAAATGGTTTTCTAAAAATGGGAGACTGTGAGATTTAAGATTTTAAAACAAGAACAAACAGTGAAATTGGTCCAAATGGAACCTCTTGGCAGTTCCCGCATTAAAAAGTCTTCATTTTCCAAATACATTCAAAGATAGGAAACTGAGCTACCTTGACCCCCTCCCCCACCCAAGAATGAAAATTATAATGGCTTTGTCAATGGGCTTGATCCAAGGAGGCAAGTGGTCTGAAAGAAATTAATGTCGAGAAATTATTAGGCAAAAACGGTGATCCAGAATTAAAGGTATTCGTAGATGAATCATTTTTACGGTGACCATCATAACCAAGAAGACGCCCAGATAAGAGAATATTGTTTGGCACTGGCTGCTGTGTTGTTTGTGATAATGAACACAAACCCCATCTGTAAGGACAACACGATGTTTCATTCTGTAGGATTTTTCCCTACATTTGAATCAAACATTGATGGAAGCTGCACAGCCAGCAGCTGCTCAGAGACAATTTAATTCCAGCTGTGATAATTCACCGTGTCAGACATTGGCTGTTATGTGTTGATACAACAGTTCTCCAAATTTGCATTTTTATCAAAAGGAACAAATGTTTTGAACATTTCAGTACAGATGGTATTTAACCATGTACACACTACTTTAACATGTTCAAGGTAAACACTGAAAAGTCAATATCTGTAAGAAGTAATCATAGAAACTCTAAATGATTAATATGATCTTGGTCATGAGGCATAGTGTCCAAAAGTCAATAACTTTTGTTGTTGTTGATGCCATACATGGTTACTTTCATAATCTCAGATAACCAGTGTGTTTATTACGTTTTTCTCTAAGGAATGCTTAACATTGTATTTAATATATTACCTCTCTTTAAAAGTGGTTAAAGATTTTAGCATTTTCTTGGTTATGCACTGGAATATAATTTTATTGTATTGTTTTATTAGGTTATGATATAGTAGTATACTAAATTCTAACTTAAAATGATCTTGTCTTTTATAAAATTATACTCTAAGGACCTATTTTATATATATATATGTGTGTATATATAAAATATCTTTCCATTCCTTAACAAAAATAAAAATGAAAACCTGCTTAATTTTGACTGCCTAGCATAAGATGTGTTTATGTTAGAGGCTAAGAGGTAGTCTTATGTAATGATTTCCCTGTACATCTTTTTTTGAACAAAAAATAAAGCCCAAGTAAATGTTAATGCACTACATTATAGTGTGTGCCTAATTTCCCAATCACTGCATTAAAAGTAAATTTATTTGGTTTTTTAACATTTTAATGAGCGCAAAGTAATTCGGGAAGACTTTAGGTTTGATGCAGTAAAGTCGAAATTGTGCCTGAAACCAACCCTCTTCCCTGCTACTGCCCTGCAGATAATACCATGGGGACCAGGATACTCTGAGTTTGAAATTCACACATTTGCTTCGTGTTTTCTGTCTGTGTCATGATTACCCTGACCATTTTTAAAGTACTTTAAATATTTATTGAAATAATATTTCAAGTGTTAATTACAGTGGTAATGAAAACAGCCAAATGCCACATATCAAGAATGAGTGTTTATCCGTATTGTTAATGTGATATGTTAGATTTCATTAAGCAGTAATGGGGTAGCAAATGAGTCACAAATTACAGTTGCATCTGTTACTAGACCGCATTAGTGCCAAAATAACAGCAAATGCAGCCATAGGGTGACGTTCATTAGCCAACCACGTTTGCGGCCAATTCATCCCTTTGTGTTTGAGAACTCGGGGTACCATCGTAAGAAATCAACACCTTTTGGGGGTCATTATTAGAATAAATATGTCAGAAAAGCAAGTATTTCATTCTAGCTTTCAAATGCATTACTATGCAATAAAGTTTTGCATCTACTGAATCTAACTAAGACCTTGTGCGCCATGGACTCCCCTGTCTTGTGACCTCTTTATTTCTGGTGAGATAAAAATAACAGTCGACAGGTTTTGTATGTAAGAAATGTGTTCTGCTTTGTTTTTCCTTCAGTTTGTTTCTGTTTTATCTCAAGTGGTTGTTAAATTATATCATCAGTTCATCGTTTGGGTAATGATGATTTTCAGCTCTAAATGATTCTCTTCACCAAGCACAGCAGACTCAAATGATCTTGCACCAATTCATTCTCCGAAAATGTTATTAGTAATAAATGGATGGTGAACTGGCCCCTTTGAGCTCAGGAGAAAACGATCTGAGTGCCCCCCACCTCTTCACTCTACCATGCATAATATTCTAGACCTTGACCACCCCCCAGTCCAAGTTCAAGTTTAAGGAAGGTGGTTAGTGGGGTTGAGCGGACAGCTCTGATTTACATCAAAAGGCCATATTTTATAAAACTATCTTTAAGAACCTAAGTAGCAATGAAGAAAGCTGTGTATTATTTACTCGTAGGTCTTGAGAAATTGCACTTGTCTAAGTGAGCAACCTCAATGGAATTAGTGTATCTCTATTGATACATCTCTGTGCTCATCCTACAGATCATCTTTAAAAATAGAAGACTGCCGGAAAATGTTCTGATAAATACATATCAAAATCTTCATGTAAAAGGAAATAACTCTCCTCGTAGTTTAAGGAAGAGCACTAGAACATTATAATAGATGTTCTTAAGATAGTCCGTATATAAAATGGTGTATCACAAACAGTAACAATTGCCATAGAAGCATTTTTTTGCACTTGGGAGCATATCAATAAGGAAGTTTAGGAAGCAAACCACAAATTGAATATGACTTGTTTTATATGTTGTGACAGAAAGTAAATATGTGCAATGTTCACTTCTGGATTAATGTTGTGTGTGCACCACAAAGTCGTCAGCATTTTATGAAGCATGTGGATAATGTGAACGGTTTGAGCTGTTTCACTAACATATCAATAAAGTAGCAATTTGTTATATAGCCAAATCTAATGTCGCGGCTGCTCCCACTAACAACAAAGACAGATGTTGCTAATTAAGTACGCATTAAAAAACTGTTAATACTGATACTCCATTAAAACCATATGATAATGAGACTTAAATCTTTAATCAGAATGATCAGCAAAACTTTATATATGGAAATCTGTGTTTAAGATGTTTTCATTTGAGAAATAAATATTTGGCCTAGCTATGGCGTGTTTTCAAGCAAAATCTTTCTTTTTCTCTCCAGGGAGCAATAAGATATAGGAACAGAGTGTGAAGATATCTATATTTTGTTTCCTTTTAGCAGACATTCCACACACCAAGCCTCGGGGATGAGGAGTTTGAAATCCCCCCCATCACGCCTCCTCCAGAGTCGGACCCCGCCCTGGGCATTCCGGATGCACTGCTACCCTTCCAAGGCCTCAGCGACCCCTTGCCTTCCCAGGGGAGTGAGTTCACGCCCCAGTTTCCTCCTCAGAGCCTGGATCTACCCTCCATCACAATGGCCAGAAATCTCGTGGACCAAGACGGGGTGCTCCACAGCAGTGGGTTGCACATGGTAGGCAGCAAGCTGATTGCTTAACAGTTTTCTCTCCTTTGCGCTTCTCACGGTCAAGACCCGAGAGCCTGTGTTCTGAGACGCGCTCACGCCTGTGGCGGGGGACATGGGGTTGCCCTCCCTCGTGCCGTGTAGGCACAGCGGCTAGATCAGTCCCCGGTATTCGGCAAGAGGGCGTTGGGGTGGTTGACGGGTACATGGAAGAGGGTGACCCAACCAGAGCTTTCTGATTTGAAATGCTTTTTTTAAAAAGTCAGATTCATTGGTTTGGAAGCAGCCGATCTTCCCTTGCCTTCCGTGTAACAGAGAGGTGTACCTGAGTTGCAAGTTTGCCCAGAAAGCCTTTAGAAATGGTAGCCCTTATCGGTGCCTCCGTCTTGTGCATCTGTTGGATTAGAACATCATGTTTATGGTACACGATCTGCTCCTACCTCAAATGAAATATCAAGCTGTGATACAGAGAAAGGGGAAGAGAATAATTGCTTATAGCCAGCAGAGGAAAATATAGATTTGGTTATTGTGTGAAATACACCTAATTGTGTTATTTATTGTCATAAACATCGAATAAGGCACTCCAGAGAGCCAGGATTGCTAATGCAATCATTGTGGTTCTATTTTTCTTAGTGAGCAATTATAGTCAGCAATCACCAGAGTAAATCTCCTTAAGTATTTTATACTCTTCTGCTGGGATTTTTTTTTTTTCTCCCACCATAGTATGTAAAGCATTTGTGTCTATCTAGGTGAGGTACTAAGCAGACATTTTAAACAAGATTAATACTTCATAAGGCTTTTTTTTTTAACCCTGACAAAATGAAATAGATGTGTTGGTATAACAGAAACCAAATATTCCTATTGCTTGTTTACCTATTTCTCTGCACATTCGGACCACGCCAGATGTTTACTGGTCTCCTTGTCAGACCCGGATGACACCAGACGGACCCGGTGGATTAGCGCGCGAGGTGCGGCGTGGCTCTGAAATACAAGATCACGTCCCCAAATAGGATCGGGCAACATCATCTGCTTTGCCTGTGATCTTTTGTGTTTGAGCTGAACGTCGGCGTTTTTATTTTTACTTTTTTGTTGGAAAAAAATGCAGCCAACAGTCGGGAAAGGCTCATTAAGTATTCATAAACGTCCTCGCCATCGCAGATCACGGTTTCCCGTGGACTTTCTTACGTTTTTGTCCCTTTGCCACTGGAAGGGAGGGTTCTGTCGCCGTTCCTCTACGGTCAGGCTTGCGATGTTGTGCCTGGAAAATAATAAAAATAAAAAGGGTGTTTAGTCACCAAGGGAGTTAGCCAGGGTTCACCATTACTCATAGATGCTCAGCGAGGCTCATTAATGTCGGGGAAATAGTTAAAAGACCATATAATGTGTGCTAAAAATGTGTACTTTATTAAATTGGTAAATATTTATTAATAACATAAGAATCTGCCTTTAAATTAAACATCTGATGAATTACCTTCCCTTAAAGCCATAAAACTGTTATTGCTGCTATAAAAAGTGTAAAGGAGGCATTTTGACTATGAAATTTCATTTCATGGTCAATTGAATTTACTATATTGGAAAGAACTAAAGATGGAATCATAAAATAATTATGATCTCCACATACTCTTCAAGAACAATGCTTTCACGGGCTGGCGTTGGGAGAGAGGACTCAATTTTTAATGCTGCTTTTGTAATGTAATGCTAATCACTAAAGCAGTTGAATTATTTCATTGATTTTTAAAAGTATAAGTACATTAGCTAAGAGCAGGCTGTAGTCCTGGTATTTACACGGACCTCATCCCATTTGTTAGTGTTTCTCTAAAGTTTTGCTGAACCTGAATGGTATTTATTTTGGCTTGAAACGAACTAATCTTGTTGAAAACTAGTAGAATTTCACCTTGAAGAAATGTCACGGGGTTTTAAATCACAAATGTGGGGAAAAAATAAAATGTACTAGGACAGAATTATGATGCATACAATGTGTCGTTGGCTTTGTTCTATGTACTACTTGACATGTTCACCTATAAACTTGAATTCAGAGTGGCCAGAGGCGTGGTTAAAAATAGCTTGTGTCAAGGTTCTTCTCTGTCTCCCCCCCCCCCACCCAGTTGGCTGCTACATTGTAATACTCTGCGGCAGCTCCTCCGAGATTTCCCTCAGGAAGGTCACCAGAAAAATAATAAATAAGACTTTATACATCATGCATTTGGCTTCCCTGTGTGCACGGATATTTCATACCTTATGCAAGTAAGAAGTTTTACTCTCCAGATGAATATGGCTGTCTGTTAGGGATTGCTCTGGTGAATTAAGACCATCCTACAAGAAGCCAGCTTGTTTATGTTGCATTAAAGCAGCTTTTCTTCAGAGCCTCGTTGGTTTTCCTTTGGAAAGAGTGACAGTTTGTCACATTACTGATTAGCTGCATTTTTGTTGGCAACAAACACAACATGTTTATCTTCCTTAAATTTATGCCATTATATTTAAAAAACAGCAGGAGCAAAGGGGAGGGATTAAAATGAGGCCAATGAAACAGACTCGTAGATACGGAGAACAGACTGACAGCTATCAGAGGGGAGGAAGGCTGGAGCCTGGGTGAAAAAGGTGAAGGGATTAAGCAGAAAAATAAAATAAAATAAAACACGGAAACTCATAGACCAGACAACAGTGTGGTGATCACCAGAGGGAAAGCCGGGTGGGGGTAGAAGAGGGTAAAGGGGGTGAATGGTGATGGAAGGAGACTTTGACTTGGTGTGGTGAACACACAGTACAATTTACAGGTGATATTTATAGAATTGAACCCCTGAAACCTATATAATTTTATTAACCAATGTCACCCCAATAAATTCAAATTAAAAATAAAAGTAAAAAGGCACAACTTTAAAAAAAAATGAGTCCATTAATTATCATTCACATTTCAAAATATGCAAATAATGCTTTGGTATTCAAAAGCGAATTGCTGAAAAATGGCAAGTTGATGTTTTTGTGACTTCAGAGAAAAACTTTGATTTGTTTGTTGTGGATATGTGTATTTCAAAGCAGAATGCAGTTGGCTAGTAGAAATCAATAGTATATTTTGGCTAAAAAAATTCCTTACCTCTGTGCACTATTGTCAGTTCAGATGGTCATCTGGAAATTGTTTTAATCTACAAAAGATTGCAATCCAAAAAATCTACAACCAGCATGCCAAAGGGTTTGTGTGTGTGTGTTTTTTTTAACACCTCTCTATAATCTGCCCAGCCTGCTGAGTAGCATTGACATCAGTAGTACATCAATTTCAGAAAGTGGATTATTTTTACTAGACAGCTATTGTGACATATTGGGTCAGTCATAAATGAAAGATATTCATGCAAGCATGCAATACTTGTAATGAAGTCTCACTCTGACCTTCTGTATGATTGATTCTGTAATTTAGTTTTCTCAGGCAGTGCCTGAAATGAAATGAAATCATGTTGAACAAGTTTTGAATACCCACAGTGCACCAGGAGAAGAAAAATCTACAGCCCTAGAGGCTTGAGAGAGAGCAGCTGAACGATTTATCTCTATGCTATTATAGCCTTTGCCAGCATTCAACATTCTTTTTTTTTTCCTTATTTGGCTTAAGTACTTAATTCTGCAGGTAGCTGTAAATGGGAAAATAAAATGCTGTTCAGATTTAAAATGACAGGACAGGAGTATGTGCAGGGGACTGATAAAATATCTTGAATAGAACTGACCTTTCATGTAGCTGAAAGTTACTGGGGGATTCATCCTCATAATTACCATATAGATTATTTTTATTTCTTTCCTGCAATGAAACATTTCAGAGAGCAGTGGTGCTGATTGAATGAAAATTGAACTTGTTAACATTCTTTTCAGCTTAGTCTGTTGTACATAACAGAAGGTTAGCTTTGATGAATTTCAAAATTCTCTTTGATATCCAAGAAACAGACAGTAAAATAATTGTCTCTCGTTTGATATTTTGTATGCCCCCCCAAAAGAGAATTTATAAAACACACTGATAATTCACGTACGTTTTCTTCATACATTATGGTTTGTGTTTAGAGGGCTGACATTTTCTGTTTGATATGTCTCTGGATTTCACTGTGATAGCATGTATTTATAGAAAATGCCACACTGGTGCTCTCGGAATATCAAACATAGTATTAGAAAATTGAAAAAGACGGAAGTAAGGGGGTTAGGGGTATGTTTGAGTATGGTCGTCTTTGTACCTGTTCAGGGAAGGGAGAGAGAGCAAAAAGTCCCATAGAAGATGAGCAAGCAGGGAAGAAAACGATAAACTTTTAAAATATTCATAAGACACTTAAGTCATGATCTAAACAGATGTCCTTTGTGATGACCCGAAGAAAATGGGAATATATCAAAATGAGACATCTCGAATGATCAGCCATAGGTTAGAAGTTTTTATTTTTGGTACAATCGTTTGCTAGGGCTCTAGTTTTGAAGTCAAATTATTTTTGTTTTTACCAAATGATCGGCATGCCATTTTCATACTTTTAAAAGTCTTGCTTTAAGAGAAATAGCAGACTTTCAATTAATACCTTGTTTTAGCAATGTTGCTTAATGTGTTACAGATAAAACAGTTATTTCATGGGTCATTAATGTGTTTAATGCATGGAACATTCTATTAAAACAAGCCCGTATTGTTAGGAGCACCTCCTCGCCATCAACAGAGTCTGCAGAACAGAATCCCAGAGAATGATTCCCTGGCCATGGGGGACCAGCAGTTTCTCATACGAACTGAATGATTACTTCAGAAATATGTATTTTTGGTCAAGTTGCGGTCAAAATCTTTTATTGTAAGTTCACGATAGAAGAGGCATGACTCACGTGAGCAGCGACTCCATTTGAACGGACTGGGATCCATCCGTTCAAATATTTACAGAGCGCCTACTAAGTGCTTCATGTTGTTTCTAAGACTTGGAGATGGAGTATGCTATTTATAAAATTATTTTCTTGATCACCAGTGCCTCTGTCATGCACTACAAAAATTCACGGCGTCTGATTACTCCTTG